CTCTATTTTTCTACCTGAAAACTTAATTCAACAGCAGCATCTGGGCAGGGTTCACCGCGGCGACTGGCAGGTGTTTTTCATCTAAATAATCTAAATCTTGCAGCTATATTTGCTGTGATCAGTGGGAATAAAGTAGTTTTAATATGTTTTTAAGTGAGAAAGTCCACCTGAAAACTTAATAATTGCAGTCTGTTCATCCAGTTCATCATCGTGCCTATACTATTTCTGTCGGAGCCGCTCAGACCCCGACATACCAGTGGTACACCGACAGTAGGAACCCCTTCAACAGCAGCCTCTGGGCTGGGTCGCCTCCGGGTTCACCGCAGCGGCTGGCAGGTGTTTTTCATCTAAATAATTTAAACTGCAGGCACCAGGATGCCGGTAATAAAAGCGAACATATTCTGTCGGCAGGTTTCAGGATTTTAAGTTAATTTAGGAGTGATCACAGCACTCTGTCATAGCAATGTGGGCCAGCTTCCAGGTTTGATTAATACTTTGTAATAAATACATGAATAAAGCACAGTCATACTCAGTTTTGCTCCCGCTCTATTTTTAAATTCGCAGTAGAGCTATTTTAAGGTAGTAGAGGACATGTACCTGTATATAAAAAACGCGCCCTATAGTCTGGTGCGCCTTATGTGTGTGTTAAATACAGAAATGGCACACATAACTGAGACTGCGCCTTTTAGTACGGTGCGCCTTATGCGTGTGTTAAATACAGAAATGGCACACATAACTGAGACTGCGCCTTTTAGTACGGTGCGCCTTATGGTCGTGAAAATACGGTATATATATTTATTCATGCACTTTAACTCAGACTGGCTAAGATCCTGGCTCTGGTTAACATTCAAGCACAGCTTAAACTGAGTTTGGTTGATGTTTGGTCCATAGTAAAAGCTGAATGCTTAAACTTAAAATTTTTACCCAAAATCTGATGTGTGTTTGTGATCATTAGCTAGATCAACCAATACACTCTAATGTAAGCAGTTTAGTATTACGTTTCTTGAATAATCTCGATCTAAACCCTCCTGGTAATGCAGCATGCTCAAAAGGTCCCGCCCAAGCCATGAAATCAGCTAATCTAAATAAATATTTCTTAAAAGTCCACCCATTCTTAAATGTGACGCTTTAGCATGAGGGCCATGTGGTGATGAGTGGATCTAAAAATCCAGGGAGTGTCAATGGGGAGTATTGGCCTAGTTGTTAGAGCAGTGTGCTTGTGCCCTGAGAAGTTTGCAAGTACCCGATTCTATCCCCACAGCCTGCATTCTGGGTCCCTGAGAAAGACCCTTGACCCCACACTGCTTCCCGGGCGCCGCACAATGGTAGCCCCCTGCTCCCCAAGAGGATGGGTTAAATGCAGAGGTAAATTTCTCCAGTGTGAGATCAATAAAGTTCAATTATCAGAACTGTACTTACAAAAGACAGGGTTGGCTATAGCAATGACTGCCCCACCTGAGCTTTAGTGATGCCTTGTTGAACTCTCTTCTGGCGCCTGATCAAGAGGAATTTGCGGACTGCCTGCTGGATGACCGATGCGGCTTTGTGGCGGCCGTCTAGCCAATGCCTGACAGCTCTCTGAAGCACCACCACCTTCCTCCTGTCCTCCAGGTATCGTCTCCTCTGCAGCCTCGCTCTAACCCAACGCTAAGAAAAGCCAGGAGAATCGGTCAGCTTCTACTCTTCAACAGTTCAAATGACCTCTGATTCTTAATAACGGTACCTGTACAGTGATGACAGACTGGACATGTCTTTTTGCCGATTCTAAAGCCCAGTGTGTTCTGAGAGCTCGCTGGATTTTTATGGCACTTAGGTGATGGAAAACTGCAGCTGTAAAACGTTGTCTCCGTTCTTCCTGGATTGCCTCTAGGGCCTGTAACCAGTCAGCATGAAAAGAGGAAATTACAGACAGTTCATGAAATTCAGACTAAGCTTGGTGCATGTAACACTTTAAGGACTGTTAAAAACAAAATAGGAGCCTGAATTGAGGCAGCTACCTGATGTCTTGCTCTCCAGGCTCTGTAGCATCTCTGCAGTGTCACGGCAGCCTTCTTCATTACAGTGTAGCTGTTCCTCTGTGCTTTGGCCTCTATCTTGGCTCGGTATTTTCTCTGAAGCGTGAGAGCAGATGACTTCAGTTTCAAGTACTGCTGACGTTCACGATGGACTCTGAAAGCTCTCTGGATGATGACTGCGGCCATGTGTCTTTTTCTGATCATTTGTCTAGACTTCATTCCTCGATATGCAGCTTGTAAGGAGACAGCAGCTTTCCTGACCTCTTGATAATGCTTTGCTTCGATGCGACTACATTTCTGGGCTCTGAATCTCTGCTGAAAGATGCACGCTGCCCAGCGTTGTCTCTTAAACGCCATTTGTTCTTTGTGTCTCCTGAAGTTTGCCTGAATGACAGCAGCAGCTCTGTGCATCTTCATAACCTCAGTCCTGGCATGGTGACCTCTGAAAGCTGCCTGCAGGACGACAGCAGAACGTTTAATTTTTAGGAAATGTTCTCTGTCTTCCCTCTGAAGCAGCAGAGCTCTGTAGCGTCTCTGGATAATGGTGGCAGCCAGGCGTAGAGCCTGAAACTTGACTTGCTCTCTGTGCTTTCTGAACTCTGACTGAATCACAGTTGCAGCTTGATGCCATTGGGCAACCTTATTTCTGACTTGAAGTCCCCTGAATGCTGCTTGAAGACTAATCACTGCCTTCCTGATTTTTTCATATTGTTGTCTTTGTTGCCTGGCTAGAACAATAGCCCGATGCCTGCGCTGAACCCTGCGGACGGCGTCCTTTAAGGCCAGAAAATGCTGCCGCTGGCTGCTCGCTCGGTAAGCTCTCTGGATTAAACTGGCAGCCTGATGCCAGCAATACAACTGCTTTCGGACATAAAATCCTCTGTAAGCTGCTTGAAGAGTGATTGTTGCCCATCTTAGATGTTCATACTCTTTCCTTTGTTTTTTGGCTGCAACAACAGCTCGATATCGCCGTTGGACATTCACAACACAGCTTTTGAAGATCACGAATCGCTTGCGTTCGCAGTGGGCCCGGTAGAGTCTTTGGATCAGTCTTGCAGCCTCCTGCCTCCGCCTTAAAACTTGTCTACATTTCATGCCTCGATAAGCAGCCTGTAGAAGGACCACAGTTCTTCTGACCTGTTGGAAATGTTTGACATCAAGTCGTTTCTGCCGTTGGGCTCTAAACCTCTGCTGAAGGACGCATGCCGCCCAGCAAATCCTCTGAAAGTCCAGCTGTTGTTTATGCCTTCTGTAGCTGCACTGGATGACAGTAGCTGCCTTGTGCATCTTTGCCATCTCAGCCCGGACACGGTGACCTCTAAACACAGTCTGAAAAGTGATAGTAGCTTGTCTCATTTTAAGGAAGTTCTCCCTGTGCTGCCTTTGGAGAAGAACAGCCCTGTAGCGTCTCTGGATGATGATGGCAGAGAGCCGCATTGCCTGAAATTTGATTCGTTCTCTGTGCTGTCTGAACGCAGATTGGATCACAGTTGCAGCCTGATGCCAGTGAGAAACATTCTTCCTTGCCTTATGTCCTCTGAATGCTGCCTGAACAACTACAGCAGAATGTCTCATTTTAAGGAAGT